TCTAAATGCCTTCTTTAACACTTTGGGAGACAGCTGCATCTGTGGTCTCACCAACTGAGGGATTCCCACTGTCCACAGAATTTTGTTAGTAGCTAAATGTAAAATGTTAAGATTTCATTAATAGCAGGACCCTCGTCTATGCCAGTTACACAGTTGGAATGAGCAAGATTTCAGGTGAGGAGGAGAAAACCTTCCCTGGGTCACTAACCCATTTTTTGTCCTTTCATGTTAATTGGCTGCTCATTTCTGGGAACACAGATTGTGCTGCTTCTCCTTTACCTCATCCAATGTCAAATCCCCAAAGCAGCCCTGCCGGCGCAGAAGGGAGGGAGCCATATGGGGCAGGTTGCAATTGTTCCTTCAGGTCTGGATTTATTCCACTGTGAACAGATGGACAATGGCTGACATCCACTCATGGTTCTTGATAGTTTTCTTCTGCTGTTCATCTCTGGCTTCTTTTTCTCTTCGGCCACAACACAGACCATCCTGGAGATGGTGTGGTAACTCCCCCTGACTAGATGGAAAATGCAGGGATTTAACAACAAGAAAATGCAGAGGATTTAATTTGACCCTGGGTTCTTATGTTTTTAGCACTTGTATGAAGAGGGTGAGAACAAGAAGAATATCCCTTAGTCACTTCATACAGATAACATCAGAAGAGAGAGGTTTTTTTGTGTTCAGCGGCTTGAAGGGAATTTATTCTTCCATTCATTCAGCTCACTATAAGCTTCTTCACTTTGTATTTCCAGCATAGACCTAGTAGAGCTGTTCCAGTCTGAGAAAGGAGCAATGCACATTTGGCATTTCAAAAATGACTTTGAGTGTTTGACACAGCTGAACTTCTTGTTCATTAAGTGGAACTTTAATCTGCTACTTTCATCCTTCACCTTCTTTCTAACAGTAGATGAAGGTCCTCTATTTTATTTCATGCTTGCAATGACTGCAATTTCTTAAAGACGAGGTGGTTCTCTTTAGTCAATTATTCTTTTTTTCCCATTTTCCCCTCAAAACCTGTAGCTTTTTCTCCAAAATGACTTTTCACATGAACCAGAAAGCATTAACTTCTTGCAGTGGGAAGTTGCACACAGGGGAAGTTATAACTAAAAAAAAAAAAAGCTGTAATTGAAATACGCAATTGCAAAATCAAAGGAGGCTGATCTCTCTGTGTGTTATATAAACAAATGCTCCTCAGGATCTAAGTGAAAGAATTAAGGAAATATTTAAATCCAAACAAAGTTTTCTTTCCAGGTTTTAAATAAATTGAATCGACTTAGTTTGATTATATATTTAAACAATCTATTTTAGGATAAAGGTTAAGTGTTGGGCCCTCTTTATCCAACCATTCTTTTCTTCTGACATAAATCTCTCCTAGGATCTCATAATAGCATCTGCAAGATTTACTGTTGACAAAAGTTAAGATATTCCATTGAAACATAATCTTGCATTTTGATTAAAAATGCATAAAGGTTTTAAATTTATGGCTTTAAAAACTGTTACAGTGAATGACGTCTGTTTGATAACAAAGCAAAATCATGCATGAAAGAACCAGCACGCATGGCTGTGACAAACCAAAGAAAATCTGTAAGCACACAATAGCAGTATCTTTGTGTAATAAAATTGTCAAAGCTCACTCTACACTTCAGAAAACATTCAACACATATCTTAGGGGGTAAAACAGCAAAACTTCCTCTTTCGCTATCTTCAAAGTCCCATCTGCTAAAGATAGTGAGCCCTAATGCACTGAATTTGTGACAGCCCAGGGTCATGCCCTTATGGCCGCCCACTCTGAGGGGAATAAAACTTGTACTTAAATTATACATGTGGCTGTTAACAGATACACTTAAAACAATGTCTTTGCTGTGCAGCACATGTGCTCCTCCAGCTGACTCATGAGAAGCCAAGGAACAGTTTGAAAAATGCCATAATTCTTAGTGCAGGGCACAGAGGACACTCAGCTGTGTTCCACTGCTGGTGGAAGAAGAGAGTGCAGGAAGAGGATGGGGATTGTTGGGCTTTGTGAAAGATGCATTGTAGCCCTGTGAGCCAGGGTGTAAAAGTTGTGAAGATGACTGAGTGTGAGGTGATCCAGAGGCGAGCTGCTGGAGAAAGCAGGAAGCAGAATGTGTGGGGACAGCCAGAGGCTTGGCTGGAATCAGCTCTTGTGCTCCTGCATTTCCCCATGTCCAGTCCAGAACTAGGCCACTGACAGCCATGCAAGGGAGGGGGGCTGAATTTGGGGGAAAATGAGCTGCATTTTCTGAAGCAGAAAGATCACTGCGTTGTGTTCTGAAGGGAAACTTCAATTTCGCTTGAGTTATTTCATGTTCTTTTCCGTCCTGGGAGTGTGCATAGCTCATTCCGTGGAGCAGGTGCCTTGTGGAGCAGGGTGCAGGGACCTTGTGGCTGGGACATGGGGTCAGACAAGCTGTTCCCTGCAGCAGGTGCAGCTGGGCTGGCTGCTGCTGGTCCAGTCAGCATCAGCTGAGGATGCAGCCCGGGATGTTCTCCCAGGAAGCATGAACTAGTGATGGTGTGCCAGGAGGAACCCGAGTCCCCTGGTACCTACAGTGTGTGTATTTGTTAGGTCTGTGTACAATCAGAAGAGGAAAAAGAGCAAGCATATGAATCCCTTCACGAAGTAGCGTAGAGAATACCAAACTGCAGTATTAATAACCTCCTGTTATTGAATCCTCCATCTGTTCATCATGCCAACTTATCCTCACTTAGAGCACTCCCCTTGTCATAATATTTTGCGCCACACTCCCCTCCCTCCCCGAAGCAGCAGTTCCAGTTTAGATCTAAACATTTGCCCAGTCATGTAACCCCACCGAGGACATGGTCTCAGTGCCTGGATCTGTTTATGTCTCTCTGTTAAAAAATGCAACTGAATTCTTAATTTCATTTTTGATTTTTTCCTTTTCCTCTAGTAATTTCTTTTTTCTGGAGATTTTCATATCCATATTGGTACTCACAGATATTTCTCTTGTGGTTTAAGCCTGTTTGACCCACTAATGTTCATTCCTGATACTTTGCCACATGGCAACTGAAGCAGTGAGGGAGAAAAAAATAATTATTTTCTCCTTAGAGCTTTGATATGTATGTGTTTTTATATTTTGCTAACATCTATAAATGGCAATAAAGTGGTTAGCCACTTTAAAGTGATTAAACCCAAATTTATTTATACAAACCCCACATGAGGCGCTTGGCTAGATGCTGCCCTAGTGATGCACAGTGAGAATTTAGGGAAGCTGTTCTTTGAGGGATGTCTGAGACGTCTGTGCTGAGCCACAAAAGGCTTTCCCAGGAATACAGGAGGAAAATGAAGATAAATCAGAGGCTGCATAAACTTGTCCTGGGAGCTACCTCCCAATCCCGGTGGATAATCCCATGAAAAGGGACACACTACCTGGGAAATGATGGAGGAAAACAGGTTTTTAGGGAGCTGGAGCCAAGCTGCTGAAGGCTGCCTGGTTATGCTAAATCCTTGAGTTGTGCCCTGAGCGGATTCCTGAAATCCACACAACTCAGAGGCAGAAACCACCCTTCATAACCTCTGGGTTCAAATATTCCCCTCATAGGCAAACCAATCCCAAAAAACTCCGGGGAAAAATCTACAGCCCTGTCCGTTCTCCCAGTGAACTGCTCTTGTTTGCTACCCAGGAGTGTCTGTCTTTATCCGAGCGGGTCCGGGTCCCTGAGGGATGCCGGGGCCGGTTGCTGACAGGAAACGATCGTTTTATTTCTGGAAAAACCCAGAGAAGGGATGTTCGCTGGCGGGCTGGGCTGGGTTGGGCTGTGGGTGGGGACGGACGAGCGAACGGCCGCGGCCCCGCTTCCCGCCCGCGGCTGGCAAGGAAGAAGGGGCAGCTGTGCCAGTAGAGCGAAAGTTTCTGGGAGGGCTGGAGCGGAGCTCCGGGCGCTCTGGAGAAAAAAAGCCGCGGGGCAGGAGGCGGCGGGGCCATGGCGGCCGCCGCTCCCTCACCGCGCCCGGGCGGGGCCGCCGTCAGCCGACCCAGCGGCCGCGGGGGCGCCGCCACCGCTTTGGTTCGCGTCGGCCGCCGCCGCCGCTGTTGGGGCGGGGAGGGCCTGGCGGGCGCGGGGTGACCCCGAGGGACCGCGGCCACGTGGGCGCGATGGGAGCGTTCCCGTGGGGAAGAAATCGGCCTTGGATTCTTTGGCTTTGGGCAATTCGCTGCTCTTAGAATTTCTTACAATATCTTTCTCTTAGAATTTTCACCGCTCGCGGCCGTGCCGACCCTGCGGAGACCGCGGGGTTCGTTCTGGGGCACTTCAGGGCGGATCGTGGGTGCTGCAGGAGGCACTGACCCTCACTGAGAGCAAAATTACAGCGTTGTGGCTTGATTTGTTTTCATTCCTGTTAGTTCGTGAGGGAAGAGCCTTAGCCAGATCACAAATACAGCGAAACACCAGAAATGCTGATGTTTGTGATGGCAGGAACGGGCAGAAAGTGATGGGCAGAAGTTCCACCTGAACGTGCGGGGAACTTTTTTGCTTTCAGTGATTGCACACGGAATACATTGTCCGGAGAGGGTGTGGAGTCTCCTTCCCCGGAGATCTTCCAGACCCGTCTGGACTCAATCCTAAGCCGTGCGCTCGGGGAAAACCTTGTTTGAGCGGGGAGGTAGGATCCCATGACCCGCTGTGGTCTCTTACAAAATGACCCATTCCGTGACTGTGTGAACGCAGCCGGCGTTAACTTTGCCGAAGTTTGACCAGAACAAAACAAAACAAAGCAGTGGCGACATCGCGTCCCAGGGCAGGTCCCGGTTTCGCTGCGCGCGGCCGAGCCAGGCTCGCCCGCCCCGCTGTCTCGTTCGTCTCGGCGCCCGCCTAGAACCAGGAGATCGAGCCTGGGGGGCGCGGCGGCGGCGGCGGCGGCAGCGGCCGCTCCCCCCCACGCCCCCCCTCCGCCCCACCCCGCCCCTCCCTCCCTCCCGCGGGGGCGGGCGGGCGCGCGTGCGCGCGGCGGCGGCGGGGACGCGCCCGGCGGCAGGGGCGCGCACCGAGGCGCCGCTCAGTTCGGGGGCGCCCACGGAGCGGCCGCCATATGCCGCGGCTGCCGCGGCGGCTCCGAGCGGCGCTGCCCCCCGGCATCCTCCTCGTCCTCACCGTCCTCCTCCTCCCCGCGGCGGGCGCGGACGGAGCGCGGCGCCTCCATGGGAAGTTCGCACCTCCTGAACAAGGGCTTGCCTCTAGGTAACCATCCGGCCTGCTCGCCGCGGTGCGGGGCGGGCGGGGAGCGGGGCGGAGGGGGGGGACACACACGAGCGGCCGCCGCCGCCACCGCCGCGCTTTGTGTGCCCGTCACCGCCGCTCCGGGCCCCGCCGCGGGCTGCTGGGCGGCCGCAGCGCCGGCGCAACTTTGCCCGGTGGCTGCTTTTTGAGGTTGGGTGAAAACATAAAGGGAAATAAAAACCAGAGGCGGAGGGGCGGGGGTGCGAGTCGTCCCGAAGTACCGAACTGAAAGGGCGCTGAAGCGGCGCCCCGGAGGGCTCTGGGGTGCTGGGTCTGCCAGGGCAGCTTTGGGGTGTTGGGTCCATCAGGGCAGCTTTGGGGTGTTGGGTCCATCAGGGCAGCTTTGGGTTCCCCACGGGAGCTTGGGGGTGTTGGGTTCCCCAGGGCAGCTTTGGGGTGTTGGGTTCCCCAGGGCAGCTTTGGGGTATTCAGTTCCCCAGGGCAGCTTTGGGGTGCTGGGGCTGCCAGCGGAGCTTTGGGGTGTTGGTTCCCCTGTCTGTCGCTCGTGGGGTGAGCGGTGCCGGCTCCGAGCTGCGGGAAAGCTGGGCCGGTGTTTGGATAAACAGGAAGTTTAAAAGCGGCGTTTAATTGCTGTAAAAAAGTGCTTGAGGCCTGCCTGGTGGGATGGTTTTGGCAGAGCTGCGGACGGGTTGTGTGGCAGAGGTAAGGCTCTTCACACTAAATCTCAATTTCTCTGTTTCTTCCTTTCCCTTACTTTTATTTTTTTTTTAAAGCATGTGTTTATGGTGTTGTTTTTAAAGTAACATGAATAATGTGCGCAGGGTGATGCCTCCAGAATTGCCGGGCATAAATTGTCATGTTAATCTGGAGGTGATTTTTTTTTTCTTGCCCCCAGACATAAGGAGACAGAATGTCGATTCTGTTTATAAACATTATCATTTTGTAAGCAAATGTTACCAAAAGAAGGCTACAAAGCACAGAATCAGCCTGTTTACAGAGTAGATATGAGTCAGACCGCTATGCTGCTTTGTTTTCCTCTAAAAATTAAATTCAAAAGTCAGGATTTAAGTCACAGAACCGAGCTGGACAGAATAATGGTAGAAAATGTTGTTAGCAGTGCTGTTTTTTTTTTTTAATTTCCCCTGTTGTAAGTTAAATTGATCAATTTCACAGTGTTTTAGTACAAATTCACATATTTCAGTAAGTGTTGTCCTTATGAGGAAGACTGTTTGCTTTTAGGCCACATTAGAGCAACTAAAGATAATCATCCCTTTAGCCTCATTGAGAATAATGAGGCCTAATAAACTGAAGTGAGTGTGTACTTTCTTTTCCAGTAAATTAAAATTAACTGTCATATTTGTGATGTGTGTACGTGTTTCAAGAGCATTGCACTGATTCCTCCTCCAGGGTCTTAAAACATGTAAATATTCTTACTTAGTATTCGAGCCCCTTGGCAAATAGCCTGATGCCCTTATTAAAATATTTTAAATCTCATTATTCTGTCCCACTAGGACGGGAGCAAGAAAATACTAAGAAAAATAAAGCATTCTTTAATAATTTTATATTGAGTTTGCATTAATACTTTGAAAATCTCTTTCTTTTGTAATAAAGAAGGGTTAAAAAGCTGAGTATAAATTAGACTGCCAGCAGAAAGATAATTGTCCAGTGCATCTCTTTGTTCTGTGCTCTTATCTGTTTTATCTATTTTTAGCTGTGCGTTGGTGAAGCAGGCATGTAAAATTAGCAGCCCAAACTGCTAACTTTAGTGCCTTTTGTAATGTTGCTCTTTATTGACCCCCAAAGGCAGCAGGATTTCAATATTGGAATTCCTTAATGTTTGACAGATAGCATCCTCTTCAGTTTATTATTATGTCAGCCCTCCCCAGAGTGAGGTAGTGACAGAATATTTTGCCCATTGGCAATTCATTGGAGTATTTCAAGCCACAAGGAAACAAACAGCCCTCTCTCTGCCCCCCACCTGCCTCTTTTCCAGCCTGGACAAGAACTGGGTGTTTATGAGGTGGCTGCAATTGATAAACAGATGAGAGGAAGTGGGGGAGTTAAATTGTTCCCTCATTTTTGTCATTGTTTATATAGAATAATACTTGGGACATGAATTTAGCTTCTCTGTGTTTGTTCGATGGCATTGAGGGGGTAAATTGATGCAGAGTCAGGGGTGTGTTCTCTGTCCCTCTGTAAACACCCCCCATACCCCCCCAAATAACAGAGATTCGGTGTTTCTCCATCAGGGAATGTGTTATTCCATTACTGAACTGGCAGATAAAATAGTAATAATCCCGAGATGTGCTGTAGTCATGCTCAGTAGAGGAGTTTAGTCAATGAAGCTGCTATTCTGAAATGAAACTCCTCCAGTCACCTTTGTGAATTTGCATTAGAGTGTTGTCGTACGTAGTTAAGGAGTAGCTGGAGCATGCAGCTCTGAGCACACAGTACACTACGTGTAGAAATGTAAATATTGTACATGCTGTGATACTCTGTCATCCCGTGGAGTTCTGGTAGCATGATAAAACAAATTCCAGGTGCCCTTATGCTTGTCAGCTTGGTTACCCCTTGCCTCGTCCTTCTGCATCATAAAGATAAAATAGTGTCTGCCCCTTGTGAGAAATGTGTGCTCCTTCAATTTATCAATCTCTCCGTTTCTGAGAGCCATTGTTTTATTTGCAGTGCAAACCGAGTGATTGCAGCTCTTAGCCAAAGTGTGATCCCAGAGATTGGGATTGGGCGGCACACTGTGAGTGCTATCGTGCACACACAGCAGTGCACTTGCCAGCCTTTTGAAACATAAAGTCAATCCCTCGTTATTAAATAGGAACATCTACTGCAGATCACTGGCTAGGCTGGGCCATCCCTGTTGGGGAGAAAACTGACATTCTCCCAGAGTATTATACTGTATGTACTGTAAATATGCAAAAAAAAAAGTAAAAAAGCCTATTTTACTAGAAAGCAGCTTGAACAGCAGTGAGTGTGTACAAAGGCGTAGATTTTAATGTGTTTGTAGCAAAGATGCTGAAAAGCAACATGATCCTTAATTCTCTTACCTGAAATACAGCGGTATTTCACATAAGAGAATTAAAATTTGAAACGGTGCTGATGTTTTGGACTAAAAGTTCTTGTTGCCGTTTTGTTTTGACGCATGTCCCGTGCATTTGTAATTACTGTATTTGCTGAAGGTTATCCGGAGCGCTGGGCTGCCGGCGTGTGAGAGCTGCCTTTGAGAGCAGCAGTCAGGGCTTTGCCTCCCGAGGCAGCTGGAGCACTGATGAGGTGATACCCCAGCATGTGTCAGGCTTTCACATCCCAGAGCCTCCTCTGAGGCTCCCTCACCTCCTGCCCCCATCAGTATTTATTTAGTGTCAGAGTAGGGATGAAGTTACACTTTAATACATGTCCTAAAATTTAAGGTGAGGATAAAAGCTGTACTACAGAGCCCTTTAGCCTTAGTTCCTCAGCTGCACGTGCTTTCTCACTCCAGACAGAAGCAATGGATTTACAGCTCAGGAAAACAAATCCCCAGCTGTAGTTTTGGGTCTCTTTTTCCCCTGTTGCCTCAAAAGCAAAGAGGATGATTCATTTTAGTCTATGAATTGATCAGGAGGAAAACATGCGTTGCAGATAAATCTAAAATTAACATTTCCTGCTGAAATGTAACCCTTTGCTCCCTCACCAGTGTTCCTGTGGGAGAGCTGGAGAAACTCAGCAGCGCTTCCAGTTGTGGTTTAGGGTCTCTGAGCTGTG